TATTTTAAACGCTGTGGAGGCACGCTTAATTGGTGAGAGCTTAGACCGACTGACGTTTATTAAAGCTATCTATAATTGAAGCGATACTATATTGCAAAAGGATACCTCTTTTACATAATCACAGTGGTTAGAGTTTCAGCGTAATTAAGTCGTTTACATAAACCATTATCAAGTGTCGCTACTACACGAAAAGAGACTTAGATGTATGTTTAGCAAAAATGTTAATATTATGTTAATACTTCAATACTTAAAAAATATGTTAATATTTTAATACCGCATTGTCCCCACGTTCTTATAAATAGGTGTTAACAAACTGACACATTTTCAACCACAAACTTTTCTAACGGTACTAGACGTAGAATTACAGCTCTGCTAGACAACACAATAAACACGTTGTATAGTTGTATGCGTCCACATTTATACAATGCACGCCACACAAACAAACGCATTGAACATGGCGTCAGGTTTCACGGCAAATGCATAATATTTTACTATTAAAACGTGATGTTTTCGTACCTCCACTCGAGAGGAAATGACCCGTCTTACAATACACAGCGAACAACTTATCCGGTAGCTAATTTGTTAAGGTTCATCTGAATCACATGGGCGCCCAATGCGTCATCATTGTTTGTAAATGTAACGTTTTTAGTTAGTTACGTTTTGTCGCAATCAAAATGTACTTTGACTTACTCTTTGTAAAATGTAAGTACTGTAAAGTAATGGCAGACACGACTTACTGGTGCGCAAAACTTAGTCTTTAAGTCGAACATGCCAACTTTTAGTTCATAAACATGTTCTACGTCTACGAACGTAAGTTCGTCCCGCAAAAGTAATCCGTTGCTTTTGCTCTAAAATTGTTTTTCGCCTAACTTCTTTTAGTTTTAGTTTGTACGGAGTATTCTACCATACAGCGTTGCCGGTTGTGCGGCACGTCGTTTTTCTACTGTCGATTTTCTTTTTCCACTGAGTACCATGTGGAAATAGCTCTTTTCGGACGATTGCCGTCGTTGAATTCGTTCCACACACGGTTGTACATTGAATAATCGAGTGCTCTTGAGCCAGACGACGCCGATGCGACGTTGAATCTCAAGGATTTTATTGGAATGTATTTTTCAATAAAGTTTTCATAGTCGTGTCTTTGAATTTCCTTCTTCAATGTCAATAAGCAGAAATTTGAAATCCTAACTTATCAGCTTAAACGTGCATTCATCGCGTTTTAGTATTTTGAATTAGCAATTTTCTTGGATTTGCTTTTAAAAAAGGTTTTAGTTTCTTTTTTGATTGAGGTCATATCTATCATAGTTGTAGTCAAACGTCATTAACGAACCACTAACAATTATTATTACAACTAGACCTCAGTAGACCATAAAAAGCTAATAAACAGTGTGACACTATTTCTCTGTTAATGTAATGTAATGTACCGGCGGGAAACATAAAGCGGGTCGTGGCGCATCATTCACTCCCCACACACGACATTGAACACCTACTAATACAAAAACTTTACACTGTTTGTTTGGGACACAAAGGTCCCAATCCACCTACTTTGAATAAAATAAAAGCGTAATACACTTTATCTTCTTTTCGAGAACTCTATTACAAGAAGCTCTTTATTTTCTGCGATTGGAGTACGTCGAAATGAGATGAAAATATTTGTGCTAACATTGACGCAAGATGAAAATTGTAAATCCTGCACTTACCATTATTATACAATGCTGGGTTAGGCTGCAAGGTAAAGTTTATTGGGTAGGTTTATTCATTAAGCATACTTATTCGAATGAAAGTTGTTAACCCTAATCTAAAGACCGTCTCTTCGGAGCATTAGCGGCTATGCAAATACTCGAAGTCTTCATAAATTAATTTACATCATTAAATCAATTACTGCCTTGTTCGTTGTTGCTAACGCCGACAATGCCTGTCGTTTAAGATGATTAGAACTTTATACGCTTTCTATTTTCTTGTGTACTCTTAAATGCTATTTTAGATAACGTATTAGATTTATAGTTCGCTCCTTTTATGTTCAACTTTGAATACGCTTAAAAATCCAGATTGTATAACGACTTTTAGTCGTAAAGTCGATCTTGTAGTTGCAGTAATACCGGTATGGCGCTGGTGCCGGTCGGATATTGCGCTCTTATGGCGTCGTCGGTTCGCTTAATGCGTTTCCGATGTGACGCAAATGGGATGTTTTGTACCTCCGCAACAACGTTCACGTCACTCTACCGCTACTGTTGTGCAGGTGTGAACCATACGCCAACTGGGACAGTTTACTGTTGTTACATAGCAGACGTAACATCAACAATTTACTTTTCTTACATTCAAGTCACAGTTGATTTTATACGCACATTATTTTTAAAATAAATCGTGTTTTCTCATTCGTTTGATTTACTCAACTTTGTTTAAAGTTTGAGCATTGAGCAAATCTCTCTACAAAGTAAGCCGTGGCTAGGTATAATAAATTGTACTGGTTATGCATTTAAAACATTTTGGATTTTAAAAAAGTATGTGAAACGAAGCAACAAATCGTCCCTTCAATGTTTCATAAATATGTTCGTTCAACGTCCATCACTGCAGTCGTAGACTTTCAGACTACACAATTCCCGATAAATCTGTTTGGAAAATTCTTTATATTTTATCTCAATTTATGTGTTAGTCTGCCTTAAAAATATTTTGTTTCAAATTTTGTCATTGGAGATTTAGTCACTTTGAGATGTTATTTTTATAAGATCTCTTATCAGATATCTTTACCGTATACGAGCAAGGAATGTAATGTTATGTGATAACGTTTTTTATCGTTTACCTTACTTCGTATGAACAAACCTAGTTTAAATGGTTTCATACAAATTATTCTTGTCCTATCCATCGTATACCTAAAGTTATTCGTGTTAATTAAAACCGAAACTTTTGAAAGTAGTTTTGCCAATCTTTTTTATAGCTGACGTTGTGACGAAGTTTTTGTTAGGAAAGTAATCATTGTTCCTAGATGGGTTGTCTCCATTCTTTATAATATGTTATGACACGGTGTTGGTTCTTCGTATATATTTTAGTCACGCGTAGGCATCGCTGCCTGTCGGTTGTTTACCTTTGTGTGTAACTAATACAATACCGTTTAGATCACCGTCTATTGCAAACATTGAAATTAAATTCTAAGAAGTTTTATTTAATGTGACAGTGATAGTGGTTACTTACTCATTTTAAATAAAACACCACGCTCATTGGCCCTCAGCATCCCCTGAGAAGCCAACCACTTATTAACGGTTTCCATAAATAAACATGTTCAGGTTTATTATCCCCTTGGGTTTATTAGAACTCACATTCATTGACCTCATAAATTCATTCATTTATTTGATATACTCAAATATGTACATATTTTGAGATCCCTGTAATCTGTCAAAGGAGCCCGCGTCGTTTATTTTCTCTATGAAACCCACGCCATTTCGCCTACCTGTTGACATCTTGTCGACGACTCCCCGTTTAGCTGTACAAGTGTACATGTACGACAAATAACATTAGTCATATTATAAATTATAACAAATATCTAGGCTGGATTAGATTTCCAAAAGCATTATACTCTGTAGGTTTACTACAATAATGAAAAAAAACATTGTTATGAAAACCGTGATAGGACCCACAAAAGGTTCTAACGGACCGTAAACCAAATAATGTAAATGTATGTGGGCCGCATTGCCTAATGTCGAACGCTTATGGCGATGCGTAGCGCTGCCGTAAACGCATCGAATTCCTTCTAGTTCAGAGAGGACCGTATTCAATGCACGGCTGCGCGGGCGGTGACTCCTCGCGACGTCCACCCGATGCCATGCTCGACCGTCCTCACGCTGAATACTAATGTATCTCCTATTGTGCGTCCAAATTCAGACACTCGTTGTTGCGGTCCAACGAAAGTTTTGTAACGCCTTTGTCTTGCTAACTTTCGCGCTTGCTAACTGGAACGCTCATTTGACGAACAGCCTATGGGCTATGAGAGTCATTTGCTGCTTGAATAACGTTTTTTGTAAACCTTAAAATATAAACCTTTAAAAATAAAGTCAAGACGGCTTTTTTGCTGTTATATCATAGTAGCAAGTAGCAACGGCAATAATTTCATTAATAGTATAAGCTATTATAGCTCGTATCGTATGTGCCTCCGTCTGCATCTGCATATTTTGCAGATTGTAGGCGACAATTCAATATACCATTGAATAGCTGTGAATACTTATGCACTGCTGGGTACATGAAGTCTGTGCGCGAGTTTCGCTGCGCTGAGCCGCCGGAGCAGCCGCTGCTGCACGGTCCGCTGGCGCCGCTCACCGCCCGCGTGCTTGCTTCACCCCCGCGGTCCCTTGCGAAAAAATCATAATGCAATCGCCAGGACGGCCGGTGTGGAACGCTCGGCAACCACTCGCAACACGCAACCAGTCTACATTCAAATGCGTTGAAACTCACACGCCATCCATCATGATGGATTTGTAGTGTCGGGAAACAGATTTCTCTAGCGGCCAGTGGTGCGGAAATTATCTGTGTAGCGGTGACCATAGTGACGTTAGAATCAAAGTTGCCTCTGAATGTTGTTATTCAGTGATGTGAACTTTACATTTCAACTGTCCCTATTTTCGTTTTATGGGCTGTCCCACTTAGTTTTGTTACTACTCCTAATTGATATTCTATTATAGTCCGCAGTACATTGACAGCATAATCTTTATTGTGCCCTAAAACCGCCGATTTATCGATCGATGTGGGTGGGAAAAAAATCTAATCAAACAGTGACAACTTAAGAGATCTATCCTCTTGTGACGTCAGTAATTACGATATTTAAGAGTGCTTGAGCTTGTGTTTTAAAAACTATAGAAATTTAATAACAGTATTTCTTTATTTATCATCATTATATGGACCTTTGTCGACAAAACAATTGTCCATCAAACATAAATTAATTCTCTACGCGTCTCAGTTGCGTCCGGTGACGGCTGCTTTCGAGGCGTTCATGTTTTCAAGCTGTCTTTCCATCGCGAACAGTGGCCTGGATCACTCGCTACCGACTGGTAGCCGATTGAAAATGTGCGCGTTATCAAATGTTTTTAAAGTATAAACTGTGAATTGATTGGCTATTTGTAATTATCGTTTTTTTTAAAGATAAGACGACAGGTGAAACTCACAAAATGCCATTGGATGCCAGTGCTTAACAAATATCGATGTGATGAGGTGATATTTGATTTGTGCAGTGTTTGTGTGTGACTCAAGACGTTTTGTTATAATATGTGGGGGGCAGCGGTGTCGAATCCGCCGCACTACCATTACGTTCAAGGACCTGCTGGTCCAATTCCTCAAGTAGGGCCTAATGGTCCGATATTGTCCGGTCCTTCGACGAGGCATTTACGTCCGCAATCATCGTACTCTTTGCCTCATGGTACCAATGGGCCCGGGCGTTGGAGTTGGTCAGGAAGTAATGTCTCGTCATTCGATCGAAGACAGCTGAAGGTACCTCCACAACCTGCTCGCCCTGCTCCAGTAAGGCCTTCACAAAGCCGATACACTGGAAATAATGTAAGTGAAACATGAAAAGCAACTGACTTGTAATTCAATGCCCCTGGTAGGTAGGTTGGCACTTTCATGTCCTGGTATAATGTGCGTGAGTTGATCGGCTGTTTTATATAGCTGTAATTTATTTCCTCGTCTCGCACTGCGTGTCGGATGTCGGCTGCGCACGCGTCATTCGACACGAACTACCATTTCTCTCTGGTAGGAACTCCATGTATGTAACCTTTGTTATGTGATTATTATTACATCTCGGCAAGTTAGTTGGTTACTGCAAGTAAAAATGTCTGTTTGATATTAAATAACAAGTTATGATATATTGAAAAACGAGTTTCGTTTAGTCTTGCATTTACCCACTTTCTCACGACAGTCCCCAGAAACGTCCATGTTTACTTATTTACGTAACTCTTACGAAGGTCTAGTAAAAACTTGTGTTCGCTGGACGCATGCCGTTAGCCCTTTTATAGTGTCGGTGTAAGACGATTTCCTATATAGGGTAGTATCTAATGAATAGCAAATGTAGTCGTAAGTGAGGTTGTTCTGTTAACGGCACGAGGACACCGCTTGTAAAGGTGACTCTAGCGAAATGGCGAGAGGCGTGTCTTCAACATTGCCAACGCTAAACTTTTGTTTCACTATACTATTGTGCGATTTGACTGCGCTATATTATATTAAATTTAAACTTAACAAAAGGATTTTAAACTATTTGGATCCTTGACATCCAATTTGTCATGAGAATTTCGTTAATTTTATATTTTCATGAAGCCTAAATGCACTACGTTTATCATATTGATTTAAAAATCAAATAAATGTTTTCAAAATAGTATCTAAAATAAAAATCGTAAGTTTTTTGCGTTATAAACAAATCAGTTCCACCACATTTTTGTTGAAAAACGTATAGTAATAGCACTAACCTCAATTTATGTTTGTTTAGTTAGCATCGACTCCTAGTCTATTTACTTACGCTGCGTAACTAGCACTCGGCTTTTCTTTTGCAACAAGGTCAATATTGCGTTATAATAACAACGAGTATCGTGACCGGATTGCGACAGATATGATTATCATGAAAGTTTAATTACTTCACCGTGGTAACGCATGCGCCACGACCGACCACGAAACGGTCATTAACAATTTCGAATATTGTAAATGATATGAATGAATTGGACGGTATACATTTTGTTCTGAAACTCCTTTCGATGTAAAACGAGGTTTCACAGCGCACAACTTTATAATGAAGAGAGGTCGTATTGCTCAATTGAACTTTAGGTGTTTTGCTTTGACTGGAACTCTAAATCCTACGCACAATAATTACGCCTACAACAAAAACAACTGTAATCTTAAAGGAAATATGATGCTTTTAATCTCAGTCCTACATCTGTTCCCTTATAATTTAGACTGATGGTCACTTTACCTTTGGGAATAACTAGTTCATTGTTATCTTAATTGAAAAGTCTAGTATGTTCATAATTGAAACACATAAAAGTCGTATAACTACGACCAACTAATGTCGCTTCCAGTTGAATAAGTCATTATACCAGCATGTTGTTATTATGTACTTGGTTTTAACTTTATGGTATCATCATGACAAACTAGTGATTTCCTATGGCTTAATCTCTCCATCCAGATGAAGAAGAAGCTGAATCGTTAACATTTAATAAAGGTTGCTTAAGGACCTTACTTTGCCTTTGCCTATGGTATACAGAAACGATTTCTATAAATAGATAACATTAAAGTCTAACTTTTAATCTCATCATCATCACACACAAAATTATTTGTTTGCAGAAAACCATTAGACAAATTGATTAATCATTTAGAAATTTAATACCAAAAGCCTATCATGGTTTACGACACAACTCAATCACGGCTGTAACAATCCGCGGACGTGACTATTATTCAGATTATGCAAAAAAAATATACATCAGCTTTATCGTATGGACCTTATCTCACAATGGACGGCCGTAGATAAACGTGTGCCGTAGGTATTATAAAAATAATACTCCATTAGGGTCTGTCTGTATAGCTGGAACTGAGTGACGTCGGTCTAGCTAGATGACGTTATTCTCGTAGCCTTTGTATACCTGATAACCTTTTAGCTACACTATATTAGTCTATACAACGAGTTGAATACGTAACTAAATGAGCCGTGCTGTGACATTTGATGTTAATTAAGATATCCTCTAATCATACGTCACTATCAAATCAAATCAATGTTGTATTTATTTACCGAAAATGTACTTAATACTTCCTGGGCTATCAATATTTTTCCTGTTCGGAAAAACTTTTGTGTAATCCCTGACTTGTCTTTTATAACATATGTATGTAGTTGATTGACAAAAAGAGAAATAAATATTAATATTCCTATAGAAACAATTGTTATATTTCTTAGTCTAACAATATTCTTTCATTTTCTTTTTTGTTACCAAAATGCTTCAGCTTGTCCCCTCGAAGCCTTTTAAAATAACTTTTATTCATTCCTTATCTAAACCACTTAATTGTCGCGAAAACTTTTTGCATAATATGAAAGCTTTTAAAAGCTTTCTTTGATGTGACGATAGGAAAGTTTGAGAAGTTCAAACATTTAATTAATTTAGACATTCTTATCTAGCTTCGTGTAATGACTAAAAGAAAATCCGGGTGTAATCATAGTTATCATGTGACGTTTTTGGGTGTAGCCAGATTATCGTCTATTTTTGTAGCAAAGTAAAATGGATAATCCTTCTTTTGGTTCATGATTTCGGTACTACGCAGGTACATAGGGTATTTTCCTTCTTACATAGTAAGTATGTTGAATTTAAAATAATCCGAGCATGGACATGGAATATAATTTTTCTCGGCAGTACATACTTCCACCGGTAACTTGATCATTCTTTACATTCTCGCGTGAAATTGGCTTACCGAACACAATAAAGCCTTTTTGTTCGTACAAAGATGAGTCTTTTACTTTATCATCCCCTTTTTCAGAGCCCCTTACGGGTAACATTTTAACAGGAAATAATGATGTTACCTCGCTACCTTGTTGTTTTGGTACCTGCTCTTAGGGTTCGACCTTTATGCACACTTCCTGACTTCCACGAAGAGCATATTTGTGACTCATCCTCAATTATAAATTAAGCTTGTAAAAACGTCCATTATATTATTCGTTGTTGTGCATAGGTATATATATTACAAAATAAACAAAAGGTAGTTAGTATGGGCAAAGATATTTTTTTTACTAAACGTACTTGGTTACGTTTACGTTTTTATAACGAGTGGAGTAAATAATCTTTCTCTAATCCTGCTTAAGAAATCATTTAATTCACTCGTACTCTTTCGCGATTTATTTGCGAGCTATCTGTCGATTCGACATTATTGCAAGCAGGGGCGTATAAATGGAACGACTATTTCGCTTAAACCGAGTCCAATGGGTTTACTTGGACCTAAAACAGTTTTATTTACTGCTGCGCTACTAGATTAAAAATAAGAAGATTTACGTCTCAATATGCTCTCTCGCGGAGCTCATTGGTAGTCTAGTCACGTCCCCCTCCGACTGTCTCGTGCCGCCTCAACTGGGATAAAACGATCCACGTCCTATACTTATCGCAAACCTGGAAAACTATGATGTTTTCATCGCATTCGAGGTCGCATTTTAAGTTTCCATTATTTTTAAAACACTGCCTAATTATACGTGATATTGCATAGATTATACTTCGATTTTGAAACAAGTATAGCACATCATTTAATGTGAGTAATAAATCAAGTATCTGGAACATAATTTACTGATTAGATATCTCAATTTGCTTCATGTTATACCTAGTTCAGTACGCGACTACACGTGCTGTCTTTACCTCGCGTGTATATTCAAAGGAATGCGAGAGTTTCTCTCCATGCATCTATTGGAAAGATAGCATCACTAGTTTCTTTATTAAGACAACAATAAACATATTATCGATTCATCGTTACAATTATTGGCAGAGCATTTGAGAAAACTTTCATAGTTATTGGGCGCTAAGTTTAACACTGTTTGGAATTTGAACCAATTTTGCTTTCGTCATTTGGATTATTTATTAGTCACTGTTGTGGCTTCTTTATTTATTGTTAAGATTACAATTTTTATCTGATTTATTGTTATGACTCAGGTTGGTAGGTGGTCGTAGATCTACATTTGTCATTACATTAAATATTTATTTATTAATTTCTACATATTACTTTGCCATTACAGGTAACTTAACCTAATTCGAAATAGTAACTTAACATCGAAAAGGAATAGTTTCATTTGTTATTGAAAAAACGCTGCTGCAACACAAAGATTTTTGCTTGTGTCGTGTTTGCCGTTTACAAACATACAATTTCAAATACACAAGACACCCAACGATTTGTTGGTCCGTGTGGGAATCGAACTCGCGACACTCTGCGCGGCAGTCAGTTGCTCAGCCACCGCGCAGTCAAAAATTTTTATTAGTTTGTTAAGTAAGTTTGTGCACAAATATGTAAAGCAATTTTGTGTGAAGAAGTTTTCGTAACGTCAATTATCAGCACATTGGGTTTGGTTGCATTTCGGAGTCAGAGGCCTTGGGTTTGCTTACGAAGTCAGTTATACATATCTACATCTATGTACATTATGGCAGATATGCTGGAAATAAACCTTCTAAAATAATAAACCCTGTCTAGACTAAAAGGGAACTACTTGTTTAGCACAAAGTCAGCGAGGCATGGTCTGATTAGAGGTCTGTTCGCCTGACCAGGCAATCAAACTGAGTCACTCGCCAGTTATAATCGTGGGTAACGTAGCCTCGGTCGGTACACCTACTTAAAACAGATAACTGTAAAACGCTTACTGATGAATTTGTTTGCTTTTAAAACCATTGTTACTTACAACCTATTGACACAAAACTCATTTTCATGGGGAAACTTTCATTACATTTTACTTAAGTTAGCGTGTTCGTAAAGTAAATGAATGGATGTAGCCCTTTGACATGACATTTTGTAGCAATTATAGTTATCTAAAACATGTTTTTCAACTATCGTCAATTAATCGATCGTTATCGAATTCCATTCTTATTAGTTATTGCGTCAGGGTTTAAAATACTTTCCTAAGATATGATACGATTGATAACTGAAAATAATTCATTTGTATTTATTTCATGTAGGTCTTTATTGATATTACATATATTATTAAATATTGTGTAGGTCTCCGTATAATAAGGTAACTGAAAAAGATTTAGGCTTCATGAAAATATACAAAAACAACTCGATTATATTCACAGCTCGTGCATATGAATATTTTATATCGCGCTATGAATAATCAATCATCGCTTTTGAACATCAAACGAGTATTTGCGTATAATAAGGCACCTAAAATAACGCTTAAGGTGTAATAACAATGTGCCGCCTCGTCAATTTACGTCGTTTATTTTTTGGCACGTGTCTTCAACAAAACATTTACTTCGGTATCCTTTTTTCTTAAATATTTTATCATATTTTTAGCCGTAGGAAGATAATATTGCTTTTACAACAAACTAGGTTCATTTAAAATTAGTAACTACCATCTTTTCGTATGACATGATAACTAACATTCAATTTTTCTTTGTTCAACAGAAGGTCGACCCCGAGCTGATCTTCACGAAACAGGAGAAGATCGGCAAAGGCTCGTTCGGTGAGGTGTTTAAAGGTGTCGATAACAGGACCCAGCAAGTGGTCGCTATTAAAATAATCGACTTAGAAGAAGCTGAAGATGAAATCGAAGACATCCAGCAGGAGATCATGGTGTTGTCACAATGTGACAGCCCCTACGTTACTAAATATTACGGATCATACTTAAAGGTAAGCACCTTTGATTCATGTGTAAATCGTACAACTTATTTACTCCAAATAAGTTTGAATTGACAATATGTAATGTTGTTAATAAGTATTTACCGCATAGATTGATGTTTGATATTCACCATTTGACATTTATTAAACCCTGCAATCTTCGTATTCATGCAGAGCCACAGAATAAGATAAACCTTGTGGTATATATTACATTTTATCTCGTCGCTTTGGGGGCACGAGGCATCAATCTTTGTCTGTGAAGCAGTACCTTTGCCTGCTTATCTGCTGTCGAGTCCTTATAAAAGACAAGAATCAAGCGTAATGGACTCCATTACGTATTGTATTCTCTTGTTGAATAATATCCTTTCTGTGAATTCATTTTCCTCGGTTCATGAGCTTTATTTTACGACTTGACATCTTACTTCGATTAATGTTTCAACTTTGTATTGCGTCGAAATATCTGTTGTCTACAACAGCGTGACACACCGAAGAGAATTGCAGTTACGCAGTACTGTATAAGTACCTACTCGAATATCAGAAAGTGCTGTGGTGCACTCTCATGAAATACTAGGATACTTATTACGCCGTTTTGCGGAGTAGCTGTAGTTTTTGTAATTGTAAACCCGTGGCTTTACATCCAAGTCTAGGTAATAGGACATTGATAGTGTCGTGACTATGCGAAATATGACTACGACTAGTAATCGATATTATAGACATTTTAATAACAAACGTGTTATTGAAATCGAATGAACAATTTTGTTTATTAGATTGTACTGATTCGATTGCGCAATGTTCGCCGCTGAATGTCACGAAATTGTAACGAAGTTACTGTGGAACGTTCACCCGATCTTGTAATTCGCTCGCGTGCTTTATTGTATTCGCGCTGTACTTACTTTACGATGTCCGTCACGAAGAGTTTAGGGTCGAAACTCGACATAAATACAACCGGTTATATTTAGGTCCACAATGCAAATTCTTTGGAATCGTGTATAATAATATGCAACTTGTTTAACTGCCTCTTTTATTTTTAATACTGCCTCGTATTCGAATACTGAACGAAACATTTTATGACGATTGTATTTGTGGACGATACAAACAACTTTTTAAGAAACTAGCGATTTTTCCATAAAAACCCTACATGACATACTAAATCCTAATACAGTTCATCAATATGGCGACCATTAATCTTCGTATTTATTGCCGTTGTCCTTCTAAGTACACGATGAGAAGTACGTAGGCGGGCGTCGTAAATAGATTTGGAAACAATAGCTGGCTGATTATATCCAACAGAAGATTTCGAAACATAAATGCACGTCACCGGATGAAAATGTTGACTTCAAAGGAAATAGGCATAAAAATTTGCCTCTCGTTGTTTTTACAGCGCTAAAAATAACATTGTGACATTTTTAGGCCAATTTGCTTCTGTTATGCCACGGAGTTCGTTGTCGTCAATAATGGACGAATCGATATGGACATTTGGACCATCCCATATCATGAACTCGTAACAACGAGAGTAGAATGGGTGGCATCCCGCAACGGACAATGATGTCTGGCCCGTTATGATCGATATTTGCATTTTTATTGTTCTACACCCGGTCCATTTTAATTTATGTGTCTGTGTAAATTAGTAACATGATTTTTACAACACATAATCTTACCCTAATGGCACATTTAAGTTATAGTGGCATAAGTAGCTTAAAATTTATCATAAAATTTTGAAATATTTTCCTTTCAATAGTAAAATTTCTATTCCCTTGTCTACGTTACTAATAATAGTAATAGTTAATTTTATAATTTCAATTCTATCGATTGTTAAAGCATGTGAATTTTAATAAGGTAATGAGGAATAGGAATCTTTAGTAAGTGTCTACGATGTGTTGCGTTTCCCGCTTAGCGCATCGTACCGGCTCCACGTTGGTATTGCAATCTTGACACACTTTCGAATGTTGTTGTTATGCGTGCCTTGCAAAATACGATGCAATGTATGCGGGTCGGTATGTACATAAATCCGCAACATACGTACGAGACTTATCTTTGATCTCAACTATGTGCACAATTATTAAATAGTGTACATGTCGAAATTATCTCTCTTTTCACTTTCATCTGATGTTTTATTTATTTTTATATTCAAACAACAAGGTAAAAATTTATTATTTTGTGTAACAAACATGTGCCTGGCGTATGAAAGGTGATGGTACTTGTTCGTCAGAGTTATGAAAGGCCGGCCGGGCTGACTCGCTCAATTAGCAAATGAACTTGACGTTACGTGACAGCAACATTTTGTAGGGTACGTTCCACTTTCATCTCTTATGATGCTCGTAATACGCTTTATTTAATTTGATACAGGCAAAGGTTTCATTGGGTTTCATCAAAACGAAGAGAAGTATCCGTACATTTGTCATTAAAATAAAATTGTATCTTTTACGCAGTATTGTAATATTTTAACACAGGGTTGGCCCTCGCACTGGATTCAGATTGCGTGTTTTGTGAATGACCGCGAATTTTACTACGATACGCATTGTATTGCGTTTCAAGGACATTTTCCGTGACTTTTTACAGTAGTTGTTAATTACAGTAATACTGTGAGTACAGTGAATCTTCGTTGATTGCGGTTAATTTATTTTGCGACATATACTTTTTGGCAATTTGCAGAGTAACTACAGCAATATTGCGGCTGTGTCGTAATCCCAATAGCTATGATTCGTTCCTCAACTGAAGGAAAGGTTGCTGTTACCTTTCATCTTACTCATCCTGTTCGATATATGAATGTTGGTCGATGAATCTGTCATACATTAGTCCTCACGTATCATGAGCCATTTGTTTCCCTTGACATTGACTTCTTCTCCTCAGAAAGGACAACCAAATGTGACTCATTTAATTTAAGTATGCTTGTAGAATGTTAAGAGAAGGCTTTTGTAGAAGAACCGTCACATTTACGTCACAGCTATGAATGAATTCAAATGTGACGTGAATAAGCAGTGCTGTGAGAGAGGGTTTTAGTGGGTAAAATTGTGAATGCGGATGTCGGGCGGTGCGGCCAGCCCGAGGTGAAGGACGCTGGTGACTCATCGCGTTAGCCTCGAGGAAAATGTCAAGAATGTCTCACATTTACTGTGCTAAACATACTTATGTAAATAACAGATATACCGATCTATTCTAAGTAATAGAATTATTAGATACAAACCGTTTTGGTTAAATATTCAATTTGGTCACTCAATTCAACATAAGTTATTCACACGTACTGTAGTGATTGTAATCGATCGGAACAATAGTCTGATCTCGTACTGAGCTAACATCAAACCTACAAGTTACTTTTATGACTATTGTAAAGTAATAATGACAAGCATTCTGATACAGAGTTCGAACGGAACAGTCTATAAGATGTACTCATTCCGAATGCGTCCATAAATTCCACATCAAAGCAAAATCTCGTCTATTACGAGTATTTTATTGTTCTTTTATTTTTAGGATTTAAGAAGAAATGGCCGTTCAGGGCCGGCCGATGACTATAAAGTGCGCAAGGTTGAAAGCCGTAAACGCATTAGGGCTACCTTGACCTCTGCGAATATAAACAGCGTGATGTCAAGGTCCTGTCAGCCCTACCGAAGCTTCCATAGATTTTATTACGAAACTATTCCCTATTCAGCTCTGACGACAAATGAGCCAATTATCTCCTCGTCGCTCGCCCTGTCTATTGGTTCCGAAATTAGTATTAATGTCTCGACGTCAATACTGTGCAATGAAGAATTGTGCAGTTCAATACAGTACATAAGGAGGTCGACGACTTTAGTTCGACGCGAGGAGTCATATCGTTGAGTAGAATCAAAGGATTTAAAAGACTTGATACAGGTCTGGTTCTTATTTCGCATCGTCCTTCTGTTTCACTGCAATGCGGGCTGGGCGCGTCGCGGGCGGCAGGGAGTTAGAGGAGGGGTACACTCCGCTTCTGAACTTGGAAGGTCAAGTTCTGAAACTTTACAATTTGCCTTAGTGAGTAACTGGTTTTGACGGTTCGATTTGGATATGATTATGAAGTTAATAATTGTCAGTGATTCGTTTTCCTTAATTGATTAATGTCTGTTTGCGAACAGGATAAAGTTCTGACTTAATTTGGTTTTTAGATTTCAGTTATAAACTTATACCTACTGACTTTAGTTATAATCGATGTCTCAGAGTCATACATCTATTCAAATTAGTAGGTACGTTTTAATTATTTAAAATTTGAATTAAAAACTTGTTTATGTCATACAAGTGTTTTTCAAAGAATTCCGATTAGGTGTTCGTATTTGTAGCCTCTATCAGTGCGTTAATGAAAATATTAGATTTTTTAATTAATTCTACTCAGATCTCGATCAGATAACGGTTTATCTAAATCGGTAAATAAAGCTAAGCTGAGACTACAATAACATATTATCAGCTTTAATGTAGTCGAGATTATTACAGTCGTAAAGCCTTCATTGATATTAAAAATGAATATTTTGTAATTTTTTTCTTACACATTATTTGTTTTTTACGAGCAATATTTTTGCACCTCGTTTCTGAGAGTCCCTTATACTCAGGAAATTAATTCTGTTAACATTTTCTTCTGGTTTCTCGTGAATTGATGACGTCACTTCGCTTTCCCCACCTTTTTACGAAATTACATTTTGATACCGCTACATTCCCTCGTCGACAGATTTTCAATGACTAATGGCTTATTTAATTTTGTACAAAATTGTTATAATGTTGTAAATGAGATTATGTCCGTAGCCTGTCACAAGGAATAGCTGTCGTTATTGCTTTATAATAGCAGTACTTATCATGATTCATGAACATTTACGCGAACCATTTGAAAGAGAGCCTTTTCAGTATAATAATATAACGATTATAATATTTTTTCTTTGGATTTCCTTTGGATATAAAGCAAATTTCATATTGTTATTTTTCATTTTATAGGAAAAGACATTTTATAATCGGACCGGATTCTTTGAATAAACGGTATTGACAAAATTTAAGGCCATTAACTGGTTTTG